TGAGAAACAGAAAATGGCTACCAGTTTCTTTTGCATGCAAATTACATGTTGTGTGGATTAGTTATGTGCCAACTAAAGAGGTTTCATTGTTGTTCAAGGTCCCCTGTGTAATTACCACTTTTTGGACCTGCAGTGTCTTTGGTACCCCTCCTAGAGCTGTTATATTTCTCCTGTTATTTACAGCACTGTCTGACTTACTCGGTATTGCAAGTCAAAAGAAAATTTCTCTAACATACCATTTTGTCCTGTGTCTGTACAGCGCAGAACACAGCAGGACCTTAGCCTATGGCTGAGCCTGCTTCTAATACAACTATATCATAATCATACTTGACTGCTACACTCACCTCATGGCAGAACTTAGTAGTGGCAGCTTCTACCCTGCTGTTTGTGCTGCTCATTCTCTGGTGTTATACCCTTCATCACCTGAGCCCAGTCTTGAGCTGTCCAACTGGTATCACCTGTTATTACCAAAGTAACTACACTAGTCTTCCCACGCTTAATGGCATGTTAAACTGAATATTTGATATTGCAGTTTACTCTTCTGTAATGATTATCACTACTGTAAACTTGATGGGCAGTATTCTTATGGCATCCTTGCAAAGACTTTGTGATAAATTAGTAATTAATGTTTATACTTCCTGAACTTGTTTCCTTCATTTTCCTCTATTAAAATGGTAAACATGGTCTCTGAGGAATATACAGAATTACCCCACCTGCTTATGTGTTACAGAACCTAACTGGATTCTTCAAATAAATGTTAGATAAAAGACTACTGATGAAATTCAGAAATTTTCTTAATTTTCTAATAAGACACAGTCCTACTGTGCTCACTCATCAAGATCAGTATTAATTATGCCTCAGTAAGAAGCAATTTCTTTAATAACATATTTTATATGGACACTTACCCAAGTCAAGTGATAGGCTGTTTTCTTTTTTCAGGTGATCTAAGAAAAGGCATTTGATCATGTTGAAAGGTTGCATCTTTACGAGCAGATTAACAGAGCCTGGACTAATATTTCATGACTAGGTGTCAATATGAACAGCCAAGACTACTATCAGCCATTTTGCATCTGAAGCCTTTTAGATTTGACTTGTAGCATTACAGAATTTCATTCCATGTGCTCTCTGACCCCATCCTGATAAAGAAGTAATGACTTTAAAACCCTGGGCAATCATGTGGAGATGTGATGTAAAGTTTATTTATCACCCACGTTGAAATTGTCTATACCTTGCACAGTATGCTACCCAGCCAGGCTTGAAGCACCAGCTATCAGCAGTTCCCTGTGTGCCTCTGCTTTAGATGTGTCCATATCTTTAATTTGGTACAGATGCTGCTACAATAACCCACACTGCTGGTATTTTATTTTCAGACATCTGCAGTGCAGTCTAACTTGGATTATTTAATAGAGTCTTTCAAAGATGAAAGCAGGTTTAAAAAAACAACAGCTGTCATTCCCAGTGGGATATTTCATCTTGAGCTGATTATGCTCTATGAACTTCACCTGACCACCTGATAGTTTGTAGCAGGTTTATGAAACACAGCTTGAGTTAATGTCCATCAGGGACTGGGAGACTAGGCATATCTGCTTTGCATGGTTAATTCAGGTGATTACTTCTGCTGCATAGAAACTTTTAGATGAGTTAAAAGAATTTTTTGAAATCTTTGCCCTAGACAAGCTTTGTAGAAAGAGGCAATCATTACCCTCAAAATCTGTGCAGCAAAAATAAGGGCAGATAGTTTCAGAAAGAAGGTGTTCCTATCATTTGTTGTTGCTAGACTTGTTTTTTTTTTCTGTTGTGTTGTGAAAGCTAGTTTCTGGATTATTTTTTTTTTAACGGTATGGTCATTCTACTAATTTTTTCCTTTGCTTCTAATTAAAAAAAAAAAGTATTTTAGCTCTAGATGCACTGATATGACTGGTCCTTTGATCTGTTTATATATTTATGGGGAGAAACAGGACTGCTGTTGGGTGAAATGTTCTAGTGATACCTAGTGATGAGGAACAGGAGAGGTAGGTGGGCTGCATGAAAAGTATCTGGGAATGTGAGCAGCAAGGAATAGCTTTTTATATAGGAAAAGTGTAGAGTTTTCTCCCTAGACCCAGACAACAAAGAAATCCTAGGGCACTTTTTCTGTTACCTTTCACACCTGATCACCCTGTGAGTCTTTGTTTTCTATGTGTTTGCCTATTGTTACATGCTTAGATATTGAGCTTCCACAGATAGCACTTACTTGAATAACATGAAAATTCAGAATTAACATTTTTAGAAGTAATAATGCTACTGCTATGACATGGTCTGCATGGTAATGACTCGTAAAACTGCTTATACTTTCTAAATAAACAATGATAATCAATTCAGGCTGAAATCTAAAGAAAATTATGTGAAACAGAGAGAATTCCTATCCTTCTGGAAATCCATGTGGTACCCAGACACAGACTAGAAAAAATAAGCTGACATAAAAAGCAATATCCAGACAAAAAGAAGAAACACAAGACCTGCACCAAAATAAAGAAGATCTGTTCTTGGATATCCTAAGTCTGCTGGGCAAAATGTGCACTAAGAACTTAATATCAAAACTTGCCTCTGAACTCAGCTTCTAGGTTTCTCTGACCCCTGAAGCCATGGAATGAATACAAAGCAGCATGTTAATCTTCTCAGACCTCTCTGAAGTTATTTTTATCTTTGCAAACACTCTTCAGAGTGGTAGTTCACCCCAAGCATGCTGGAATTAAGGGAGGTACTGCTTGCTGCACAGAAATGCACTAATACTTCTGCTTGTGACCCAGACTCTGCTGCTGAATGCAGCACTCCAGAGTGGATTTACACCAGGTCACAACCTGACCCTGCAACTTCCTGTAGTGCTCCTCTTTTGTTTCTTGTATACATATCAACTTTATTTGTCAATACATGTAAACTCTTTTGGTAACATTCAGTCTGGCTCACCTTCCATGACCACCTGGTTGCAAGTTGGCTGCAGTCAGTGAAGATGAACGGGTCACAGGAACTAAAGAAGAGAAGAACAGTGGAGGAGCGTGGAACAAGTCCCTTGACTGGACGTGTTGGGAGAGAGTGGAGAGGAGCCTGAAGCTCCACGCAGCTTTTGGAGCAGGAGGAGGGCAGGATTCATGGGAAAGGCCCCAGTGTTACAAAATGGCTCATCTGCCTTGACTGTGCCCGTGCTGAGCTCCCCTGGAAGCAAACGGACCCACTGCTTCCCCTTCTTGTCCCCCAGTGCATTTTCCAAGCCTCGCTCTAGACTTCCAGCTTCCAAAGTAATTTCTGCAAAGTTCTTTAAACAAATGGAGCATTTCCAAACTCAGCTCCTTGAAACTGCGCACGCTCCAAGAGCGGGTTTCGGTGTGTTACCTCCATCCGGAAAACGCGTGCTCGCCCTCTGCCTGCCCCAGGGGCAAGCTGGGCCTCCTCAGCGCTCGCCCGGCCGGGAGCGGCGGGCCGGCCTGTCCCGCGCCCCGGGCCGGTGCGGGTCGCGGGG